TCTAAAGAGTATAACAGAAAAGTGAAAAACTTAACCTACAAAAAAATGTTAGCACTAGTTATAACATGCAAAAATATCTAGGCCATACCTCATGGGGGAGCTAAACAGCTCTTCCAAGCAAAAGTTAGCATGTAAATCATCACATGCTTCCTTTTTTTATTATACTTGTGTATGTGCAATTATATGACATGAATCCCTTCAAAAGACCGATCTAATATACTACCATGCATATAAAACATTGACACAGACAAGCACATTAAAAACACAAAAATGATGCATGACTAAAACAAATAAGTCAGCAAAGAACTATAGTCAGAGGCATCAAAAATTTTACCTAGCAACCTAGTCCTAGCCTAGCACACCATATGACAAAATGTGTCCTAACAATGTCTAAGTACTCAAGGTAAAGTCTTCGGTTACCATATGACTTTGACTAGGTTGTCACACTGACCCCATCCTAAATATCTAAGGGATCTAAGACATGTCACAAGAAAGGGGGTGACATTTCAAAAGAGGTGGCCTCACATATGACCTAACATATATGTAATTTTAAATTATATGGATAAGACTTACAATAGCAAAAATATACATTTTTTTATATTTTGGATAACATACCATAAAATGCGGGTATGTGACACATATGATATTTGAGTGCTTGGGTCATACCATTTATTGTTTGTGATACGAAAATATATGATTGATGATTAAGGGCATAAATAAGACTAATGAGCAAGCAACCTATGTGTTCATTTTTAGGTTGTTCAAATTTTTACATTTTGAAAGTAGTTTGTGTTTGAGATTATCCATCAATATTTTGCATACGTTTAACTCATTTGAAATCAAGTCGAACAATAGCTGATTTGGAGCAAAAACTAAAGATAAAATACTAGGCAAGCGCGCTAGACTCATTTCATCTATTTAGTGACCAATTAATAACTATGAAAAAAAAACATTAAATTAATAATATATTCTTTTTGTGCTAGTAATGATTCAATCATGATCAAATAAGACGGCTCATACTAAATTCGTTAAGAAAAGTCGAAAATAATTGTTCAATATTAGCCCGCTTATTTAATGGACTAATAAAATATAAACTTCTTAGAAATTCAAATATAAACTATTCAGAAACAACAATTTTTTTAGAGTGCTTTCAATAATTTTCCTCTTTTCATTCCCTTCTCTAATGGTCCTTTCATGTGAGTTCAATACTCAACCCAAATTTTTATTCACAATCGTCTCTCAATATTTAAGGGATGTTTTGTGACAAACATAAGACAAGATTTAAGTAAAATATTGCTATTATGTAGATTTAAAAAATTTAGCCAAAAGAAACAGGAGAAAATGGGAGAAATGGGGGTGGACTCGAATGCTCACAGGACGATTCTCCTTGGCATGTCGATCTTCTTTCTGACTAGTGAGCTTTGCCGACACATGGAATTGTCTGGTGGCGTCTAAGTTGGAGGATCAATTTCGACTGTAGTGTGGGCATGTTCGTATGGGTGCAGCAGACAAATGGCACTTGGTTGTCGAGCTATATTCGCGTGTCTACTTATGAGAGATGGTGTTAGTGTGTGAGCTTATTGTTGCCTTTCAATCTTTTGTTGTCATAAGATAGACTCTTCTAAAACATGTTTCACTTAAAAAATTTATATGCATGCCACAAAATTCTTATGTATTTACATAACACCCAAAGTGATATTCACATTTGTTGCATTCTTAATGCCAAAAACCTATCTATGGAAATACATGTTTCACTTTAAAAAAATAACCAAAATATTAAGAATTTGAATGATATACATTTAAATATAAATCTATAGATATTAGATATATAAACACATATGATATGTGTTGTATGTCTAAATTAACATCATTAATGACTTAATTTAATTTTATCATAATTGATTAGCCATACAAAATAGCCCTAAAATTTTAGTTAATGATTAACCAAACCATTAATATACTAATTAACGATTGCAAATAAATAAATAAATAACTATTTAAAATTTATACTCAATAATTATATTACTTAAAGATATTAATCAATAATCCATAAAACTAAAAATAAAAAATATATATTAAATTGAAATAAAAAAATTAAGATCTTAAAATGTAGTTAACAAAATATTCTTTCTTATGTGATTTAACAATAAATACTAATGGCATAAATACCACATAACTTTTATGTATTTACATATCTAGAGATACATAATTTATTAAATAAACATGAATTTAAATCCAAAATTACCAAACAGCCCCTCGGTTCAACTCCCAAGCACATGGTGATTGCCTCATTGGAAGGAACGCCAGCGCCGACAAAATAATTTAATGCTTAACTAAAATGATTAATATTAAAGTAATAATTAACTGTTAAATTCTTTGATTAAGGTTTGTGGAACTTTCCCAAACAAGAGGATTGCTAACGCACGTTCGGAATTCACTGATATGTAGACACATGATTTCAAGAAAACACACGCACATTCTTGTGATCTGGCCTGATAACACGGGAGAATATTCCCCTATATTATTCCGCATTATTCATGTGTTATTATGATGATATTAATGTGTTATTGTGTTATTACAACACCGAGAATATTTTCAGAACACAATAACACATGAATACAATCACAATAACATATGAATAATGCGGAATAATATGGATGTGTTAAAATGATTTCTTTTTCTGTCATCTTTATGTTGAGTGATTTTATTGAACTCCGAACGTATCTTTATGCCCGGAGTCTGGATGTAATATTTGTTCCAAAAGAATTGTGATAGAGTTCCAAATAGAATGCGCTGAATTTGAAGGTCATATAAAGTAAAATAACATACCAACCGATAATAATGTAATAAATATCGGTCATGTTTCTAACCAAAAGAGGATCCCTGAACTGACATTTAAACTAATCGCAGCAGATCAGCTTTAATAATAAATAAATTTCTTTTATTTTAATTTTATTTTTGGTTATACATATTGATGAATGTTTAATTAAGATGTATCTTACAAACTGTTGAAACTTACTTTCAACATGTATAAAATATAAGAGAAATTAATTAACATCCATATCACGTTTGATATGTCATCAACAGATTTTACACAAATCTCGAGATAATTAATATTAATGTTATAATATTTTTTTAGTAAGAAATAGTCAAAGTTAAATTAAAAATCATATGGTCAAGCCGACTGGCTCGATGAGACGAACCCAATGATGCCAAAATAGGCCCAATTTAAGTCAAATCAAGCCCGGATCAAACCGTTAAACTACTTTTGAAATAATTAGGCGGCTAATTAGAAAATCAAATGGATTTCAAGTATGACAAGCTTATAGTCAAATTTAGCATCACAACAAGACGAGACCAATATAACTCAAGTCTAACACTATTAAGGCACTTAAATGTCCACAAAGTCGTCCGAACAGGGAAATCTCTCTGAGTCGTCAAGATTTCTAAAGAGGTCACTCTTATATTCTATAAATAAAACACTGCCCCTTTCAAGAAAAGGACGTAAACCTTGAATTAGAATTAGCATTGGACTTGAAGCTAATTTGCAAAGGAACTGAATTCCAGTGTCGTTCTAAATAGAAAACCCAAAGAAGGCTTCCATATAGACCACCATGGACTACCGGCTCTTCGACAACCCTCTGCTCGTTAACGAAGCCCATCACAGACGTGCGTTGCGGCTTAACGAAGCACAGTGCGGAGTAAAGACCATTGCTACAAAGTCATGAAGCCCCATAGAAAGTAGTGCATCATCTCGAACATCGTGCAACGATGCACTTCAAAGACTGTGCTATGAAATCTCCACAACTACTCTCAATTACTACTGCTCTTGACAGTTGTACAACGAATCCGTCTACAATATTGTCATTACACTTCAAGAAACTGTCACCCTTTACCACATATGGGACAAGGGTCTGAACGTGTACTCATTAATTTATAGTAGGTCTTTCTAACTGAGCTAGACCCCATTATTTTTTTCCTTTTCTAGTTTTCCACATTAAAATGTACAGTGTCTCTGCCCATCACTTAAAATACCCATGTGTCTGTTGGACTTTTGTGGAACGTTAAGACACTAATAGTCACTTTAACACCACAAATCTTTCAGTACACATCAACATTTATTTCACATTTATTTCAAAATAAATTTAGAGGCTATTTGATTTACTAAAAAAGGAATATGATTTAATTAAAATACAATAACATTAAAATGTGATGTATTTGCCATGTTTTAGAGTTGTTTGATCAAGTACAAAATAAATGCATGATGATATTATTTTTGGGCATTTACATACATAAGAGCCAATCCTATATATTTACATACCAAACGCCTAAGCGCAAAGTTCTCAGATCAATTGGTAGGCATCTGCTTTGACAGTTGTAAGTCCCCTCTGGTCTAGGGTTCGAATCCCCCCAGACGACTAATGCTATATGGGGGTGGTACTCGAATAGTTGAGCGCATGAGTTCAACCATCTTTAAAAAAATATATATATCATACCAAACGTCTAAATTTTATTTTTTTTTAGGTTTATACCATCCAAATCTTTCATATCGCATACCACATTTGATTTTTTAAAAAGTGAAATACACATTTTTATGCATAAATAAAATAACATTTGTGTAAAAATTGAAATTTAAGCATTAATTATGTAAATACATAAGAACTGAGTGATATATAAATATTCTTATTATTTTTTGTTTCTAATGTCAAGCACAATAAAACTAATGTAAAATTAGGATGATCCGACAATGATGGCAATGGTGCAACTTTTGCAGTCTATTTGAAAATGAGCCGGATCAATACATCTTCAAATTAATCAAATTTGAATTAAATGCATTCACTAAAATTTCACACTACATTCCATTTGCATCCAATCAAATGTCAAAATTATAAAATTCAAGTTTTGAAAACCAAAAAATTATCAATTTTCTCTACCAGGAGCTGCAAACAATAGAGATTCATACACACACACACAATCATCAAGAGCAAAAATCACCAAAATAAAAAGAAAAATCTATCCATACATTCATCAATTCAAGTATAAACAAATTCCTACGAACACAAACTCAAACCATCCAGCAATTCAAATAACCATATAATCAAATCCATCATCCTCCTACGGCATCTACTCTTTACTAACCTCAATGCTCGAGCGATGAATCTCCTCAATCTTCGCCACCACCGTCGACATCGTCGGCCGATGATCGGGATGCTGTGCGGTGCAGTTCACTCCAAGCTGCAGCAGCTCCACCATCTCCTCCTCCACGCCCTGATACCTCAACAGCTCCATATCAAACACCTCCGACGTCCATTCTTCATGAACCACAGACTGCACCCACCTTGGCAAATCAACGCCTTCGTCGTTGAGGAGAGCTTGCGATGGCGCCTTGCCGGTGAGAAGCTCGAGCAAGAGAACACCGAAGCTGTAGACATCTGCCTTTTGAGAAACACGTCGGGTATCGGTGACCTCGGGGGCGCGATAGCCGCCGACACGGTTCGTTGTGGTGGATAAACCGACGAGATGAGCGAGGCCATGGTCGGAAATGCGGGCTTCGGAGGAGGTCGTTAGAAGGATGTTGGAGGATTTGATGTTGCCGTGGGATGCCGAGCGGCTGGTGGAGTGGATGTAGTCGATGCCGTGAGCGGCGGCAAGTGCAATGCTGGTTCTGATCTCCCAGTTCAGAGGGGTGCGCCCAGATCCTCTGTTTCCTGTATCATTGTTGGTTTCAGATCAACTTTTGGCAAGAGAAGTAATTCTTTGTGAAGGATAAGAAAGATCCAATTTTGATAAGAGGATTAGCATGCAGTTTGTCTTTTGTTTGGAAGAATTACATACATACCACTGTATTCCTTTGAATTTACATATATAACTCCCCTAAACTTCAATTTTTACATAAACAACACCTTACCTGTAGGGGTGTAAACGAACCGAACACGAACGAACAAAGCTTGTGTTCGTGTTCGGTTCGTTTAAAATTTAGTTTGTTTGAAATAAGCTCGTGTTCGTTTCTTAACGAACGAGCCGAACAC